CATCATAAAGACTGAACTAAGCAGACCATGTCTTTGCTTGCAGGTTACTGTTGTTGCCTATAACAGTATTCTTCTTTATTTTTTTAGGGCTTAAGTTTACTGAGTATTTTTCATATACACAATGTTTACCCAAACATCTTTGATTCCATGAAGTACACATACTGATGTTATCACGTTTTATACACATGAACATAAAAACAGAAAAATTAAGCTATTTCTCTTGCTAACAGTTGCACAACTAGAATTAGATAGCATTCAGACTGACTCCAGTGCCCTTGTTTTTTAGTATCTTCTTTATACAGGCATCATTAATACAGAGAAACAACAAGAGCAAGAAGTAAATGATTGTTTCTGCTTGTGGGATATTTCTTTTTTTCTTTCCTTTTCTTTTTTTTTTTTTTTTTTTGACTACTGGCAACAGATTTTTTTTTTTTATTCAAATTAGGAACAAGCTTGCTTCACATGTCAATCCCTTCTCCCTCTCCCTCCCCTGCAACCCCCCACCAGCTCTCCCACCCCATCCCCACTCTGCTCCCCAGGGAGGGTAAGGCCCTCCATGGGGGCTACCCAAAGTCCACCACATCATTTTGGGCTGGAGCTAGGCCCTTCCCCATGTATCCAGGCCGAGAGAGCATACCTTCACATGGGATGGGCTTCTTACACCAGGGAAAAATACTGATCCACTACCAGGGGCCCCATAGAGTGCTGAGGCCTCCTCATTGACATCCACGTCTAGGGGTCTGGATCAGTCCTGTGCTGGCCTCCCAGAGAGCAGCCTGGGGTCCATGTGCGAGGTCCATGTGCTCCCCCTTGTTCAGGCCAGCTGTTTCTGTGGGTTTCACCAGCCTGGTCCTGACCCTTTGATCTTCATTCCTCCCTCTCTGCAACTGGGTTTCAGAGTTCAGTTCAGTGTATAGCTGTGGGTGTCTGCCTCTGCTTCCATCAGCCACTGGATGAGGGCTCTAGGATGGCATATAAAGTAGTCATCAGTCTAGTCTCTTTATACAGGAAGGGCATTTAGGGTAGCCTCTCCACCATTGCCTAGATTGTCAGTTGGTGTCATCCTTGTAGATCTCTGGAAATCTCCCTAGTGCCAAATCTCTCCCGGGACCTATAATGGCTCCCTCTAATATGGTATCTCTCATTCTGCTCTCCTTTATTCTTCTCCCGAGTCAAACTTTCTGCTCCTCCATTTCCTCCTCTTCTCCTCCGCTCATTCTGCCAGCTCCCTCTCCCCTACCCTTATGCTCCCAATTAGCTCATGAGTTCCTGCCCCTTCCCATTCTCCAGGGTCATGCATTTTTCTGTTAGAGTCCTTCTTGTTTCCTTTGGTGAAGAGGATTGTAGGATGGTAATCCTTTGCTCTATGTCCAAAATTCATATATTTTTTGTGACTGGGTTACCTCACTCAGGATGGTTTCTTCTAGTTCCATCCGTTTACCTGCGAATTTCAATATTCCATTGCTTTTTTTTCTGCTGAGTAGTACTCCATTGTGTAAATGTACCACATTTTCTGTATCCATTCTTCAGTTGAGGGGCTTGTAAGACTACTTTGGAAATCAGTATGGTGGTTGCTCAGGAAAATGGGAATCAGTCTACCTCAAAATCCAGCAATTCCTCTCTTGGGCATATACCCAAATAATGCACTTTCATACAACAAGGACATATGTTCAACCGTGTTCACAGCATTGTTGTTTGTAATAGCCAGAACCTATAACAGTATTCTTAATCCATCTTTTGAAGTGGAGCCTGATCTCTTCCTACTGTTGCTGTACTGACTCCCCCTACATTTCTTGCTGATTTCTGTACCTTGTTTGAGACTGCATGAGCTTGCTGTGGATAGTTTCCTTTCCTTCATTGACTTTTGGTATCAAGGCACTAGTCTTTTACTAGTCCCATGAGGAATTCATGTAATTTCTTAAATATTTGGTAAAACTGACCAGTGACACAATTTCCACTGGTTTGGGTCTGTTGTTTAAAAACAATTTGGTAAATTGTTGTTTAATGTGGGGAAGGGAGAGGCAGGAGAATTTTTAAAAAATATATACATTTAATTTATTTAATAGTACCTGGGTATGGTGACTGGTGCTTACAGCATCTGCATTCAGAAGGCAGAACAGGAAGATCAAGGAGCTCGAGGCCAGTCTTGTTCCATAGCAAAATTGAGGCTCTCCTGAGCTGGATGAGACCCTATCCCAAAAAACAAGAAAAACAAAATTAATTTTTATGGTGCCTTTTAGGTTTTGATTTTTCATCAGCTTGACAAATTACAGTTTTGTAGAAATTTGTCGATTTCATCAAACTTTTCTAACTTATTGGCATAAATTTATTCATAATTTCTTTTGTTTTTGTATTTTTGGTTTGTTTTTCCAAGACAAGGTCTCTCTATGTAGCCCTGGTTGTCCTGGACCTCCCTCTGTATACCAAACTAGTCTTGACTTTAGAGATCCGTCTACTTCTGCCTCCCCAGTGTTGAGGTTAAAGGTGTGCAGCATCATGTCCAGCTTGTTCATAATTTCTTATTAATTCTTTTTAATTAATCAAGTCTTTTTAATTCTTTAAGATTTGTAGTGATGCCCCCATGTTTATGATTTTGGTTATTTGTATCTGTTTTTAAACTACTTTTGTGAAGCTTACCAATTTTTTTACTCTTTTCAAATGGTTTTAGCTTTGTTAATCTGTTGTGTACCTGTTTCTTTGTCTCATTAAGTTTATTCACATCTTTGTAATCTCCTTTTTACATTTGCATTTGTAGCTGTATTTTCTTGTAGCTTCTTGAGATGGATATTTAGCTTGCTAATTTCTAGCCACTTTTTTTTTCAAATAAAAGAAAGGCCCAGAGAAAGCTGTGTATGTCAGCTTCATGGAATGGAGGCTTAGAGTAGAAAAGATAAGCCAGCATGAGGGGCAGAGGATGGTCACTCATGGGTGAGGGAACCCACATTGTAAGGGAATTTAAAAGCATGCATAGGCACTGTCAAGCATTTGAAAGGAAAAGAGAGAAGAGAAGAAAAAGGAAAGGGAGCTGTCTTCGTCAGTGAACTACTGCTGTGAAGAAACACCACGACTAAGACAACTTGGATAAGAGAAAGCATTGAACTGGGGGTTAGTCCATTGTCATCATGGTGGTGAGCAAGCGCACATGGTTCTGGAGAGGTTGAGAGTTCTATGTCCTTATTTGCAGGCAGCAGGGGGAGAGGGGGAGAGAGGAGGGAGAAAGGGGAAGGAGAGAGAGGGAAGGGGGAGAGAAAGAGAGAGAGAGAGAGAGAGAGAGAGAGAGAGAGAGAGTGTGTCACTTGGGTTTCTGAAACCTTAAAGCCTACCCCAAGTGACACACTTTTTCCAACAAGGCCACACCTTCTCCAACTAGGGCATACCTCTTAATCCTTCTCAAGGAGTACCAACCTTCTGATGCCTAACCATTCATATATATGAGCATATGGGAGCTATTCTTATTCAAATACCACAGGGCCTGCCCAACTGAGTATCATGGCAGCTCCTAGGGACAGCCTAGCCCTTTGCTAATATATATGTAGTTGGAGCAGTATATTTCTAACTCTTGTTATAGGGAACACTATAAATTTTAATATGTATTACTTTTCTATGTTCTAAGCAACTTATAACAAGCTGTGCTAATCTTCTTGTTCAGACCCTCTATACCTAACATACTCTTGCCATTTATTCTGTTAATTACTGCAGCTTTTAAGACCTTTCTTTATGACTGTGTATTTATTTAAAAATCTTTGGGCTGGAGAGATGGTTCAGTGGATAAAACATTTGCCACCTAAGCATAAGGACCAAAGACAGGCAGGCATGGTGGCCACCTGTCACCACAGTACTTGGAAGGCAGAGACATGGAATGCCTAGAACAAGCCGTCTGTCTAGACTAGATAGAATTAGTGTACTCCAGGTTCAGTTAGAGACCCTGCCTCAGAAAATAAAGTGAAGAACAACCAAGGAAGACTTGCTGTCAAATGTGTGGCCCGCCACATGCATGTGCATTACGACGTGCACCCACACAGTCCAAACATGAATACTCACACACAGAGATATAGAAAGAAAATAATTTGTAGTTTTGTCAGCTTTTGTATAGTATGTATTCTGTCTGTGTTACTGTATATTTCTGAAGAGATTCTCTATTTCTGGTAATGTGTTGGCTTTAAAGTCTGTTTATCTGACAGTAATGTTGCTGTAGTTGTTCTTATCAGGGGGATGGTAAGGTTTGTGTGGCTTTTTTTTTTTAAACTCTTAGTTTGAACCATTTTGTATTAATGTTTAAATGTATCTCTTGTTTGTTTATCCAGTCATAAAATAATCTTTATTTTATAATGAATATTTGTTTAATTTAAATTTGATTATCATTATTGATTATATCATTTGTTCTATTATATGCTTTCTTTTTTAACACTTGATTTTATAATGTTACGTGTAACATGTGTGTCTGTACACCATGTGCATGCTATGCCTGTGGAAATCAGAAGAAGTCATCGGATTCCCTGGAACTGGAGTTTTCAGATAGTTGTGAGCTGCCATATAGGTGCTGGGAATTGAACCTGGGTCCTCTAGAAGAAGGAGCCACTGCTCTTAACTGCTGAGCCACTACATGCTTTTATCTTCTGCCTTGTTCATTTCCTTTTTGACTTTACTCATTTTGGAATTGTTTGCTTTTACCAGATGTTATAGAATGTATCTGTGATTTAGCCATATTGATCAGATGGGTCCTTAGACTATTTTAGTTCCATGTATGCCCCACAAGCTAAATGCTAGCTGTACAACATGTACAGTGTAGTAGTGACATGCAATAAAGGAAAATTACTATATAAATTCAAAGTTTGAGGGCATGGATTCTAAAGATGTTGGATTTGGCCAGCCAAGAGAGATGTGGAAAGTTGAAAAATTGTATGTCCCGGTAGTAGATATATAACCACTATAGCAAATTATTCTGAGAAGAAATGGGTCTTATATTGAGAGATAGTGCTGTTTCTTTTTTTCATTTGTAGCAACTGCGCTCCAATATCCGAGAAATGGAAAAGCTTTGCTTGAAAGCCCACAAGGATGATCTGGCTCTTCTGAAGAGGATGGTCGACCCTGTTAAGGAAGCGGCGGCGGCGGCCACAGCAGAGTTTCTCCAGCTCCATTTGGAGTCTGTTGAAGAACTCAAGAAACAATTCAATGAGGAAGAAGCTTTATTACAGCCTTCTCTGACCAGATCCACAACCATTGGTGGTAACATATGTCTTACTCTTTATCCTAGCTGTGCCATCATTAACTAATGTCCCTCTCCTTGGGGACAATAGAGAAGAGGTCTTGTATGTCCCTGTGAGTCTGCTGGCCAATCCCAAACAGACCAGATAGGTGTAGCCTGGAAATTTTGCAAGATAAAATTGTGTGGATTGGAACTTTGGGGCTTCAAGTACTTGCTTGTTCATATATTGAAAAGAAAAGTTTAAGTTACTCCTAAAGAGAATGTTGTCCTTGTGTGTGGTATACACCTTTCTCCTCTCCAGTGCAGGGGCAGGCTGTTTGGGAGCTGTTCTTATTAGATAGATTCCATCTTCACACCTGAGTTTCTCTATACTCTCCATTCTCTGAATTTAACTAACAAATGAATGAAAAAATCTACGGTGGGAGCATGGTGTCAACTTTTGTGAAGCAATAGTCTAAGAAACAGCCTTATGAACACAGTGTTATATCATTTCCAAGGATGTATTTGATAATCCTTGGTGACACTATGCTAGTATCTTTCATGAAGAAAAAATTTTGGCTTATACATCATAGTACTTCAAAGTAGCTGATTTTTGTTTAGCTTGGTGGTTTGGTTTAGATTTAAATCTTTAAGTAGTGAGTAAATAACTAGTAAGTTTTCTCTAATTGACTTATTTCCTAGAAAGATTAAAGCCAAATTTTTTAATCACCAAAAATTAAACTTATAAAGTATGTTGGTTTTATTTTATAACTGCTCACCTTGTTTCCTTTTCTGTTGTAACTGATTATCTTTTACCTTTAATTTATTCCATTTTCTTACATTTTATATCTCTTAAGAGACTCTTAATCCTCATGAAAAATATGGGCTACAAATTAATTAGAAATTAAAATGATAACTCAGGGACACTGTACCTGGTTGGTTTCCTTTTTTATCTACCAAGCATCCTGTTTCCACTCCTTATATCTAAATTTAGATTATTTAAAATGTATATATGGTCACTGCTAATGCAAGGGAATACAGAAACATTTAGGCTGCCTAGCACAGTTTCTGGGTAACCTTTTCCTTTCCTTCCTTCCTTCCTTCCTTCCTTCCTTCCTTCCTTCCTTTTTTTGTAGCCTTTGTACCTTGCACAGTGCTTTACACTTATTGAACTATTCATAGATGTATTATAGTAAATAAATATATGTTAGGGACAATTTTGTCATTTCGATATGCTGGCATGGTGCTGTGTACCTGTAATCCCAGAACTTGGGAAGTTAGACTAGGGTGAGCAATTGAGAGTTCAAAGCCATCCTGGGTACACAAGTGAGCCTTTCTTAGAAAACTAAACCAACCAAACAACAACAACAAAAAGTGCTTCAGTCACTTCTCTGCATGGCCAGTGCTAAAATGTTAGTGCTCAGCTCTTAAAGAATATTTGGGGGTCAAGCTTTTTGATAGTTTGTCATTACTGTTTTCATGGTTCTGTGGTTATCACCATTATGGTACAGAGGAGGCTGCTCCTACCATAGCGTATGAGCTGATGCCTTTTGTGCATAGGTAGAGACTGGGCTTTCTACTTCCATGTGTTAATAGACTATCTCCTATACCTAGACATTTTGACAGTGATGGCAATAATGACAGTGAAGATAATAGGATTTTCTGGAAAGAATAATTGGTGTCAGTCTCCTACTATTTAACTTCAAGTGACGCATCTCTAGTGTTTTTATCTGATGCAAAATACTTAAATTCATCCAGGATTTTTCTTAAATAGTAACATAATAATTGCTTTAATTTACAATTTATCATTGCATTGTATGCATTTACCCAAGCAAAACTATTAGTGGCCAACACAGTTGAGTACATATCTCTGGGAAAGTACCTGCAAGTTACTATTTACTATAAAGCAGAAGGTCAGTGTGAACCTGAGACTTGGCAAAATCAGAGGAAGTATGTGTATTAAGGAAATAAAAAAAGATTAGACAGAGGATGAGGGGAAGGAGTCAGCATGTGAAATAAATTTTCAACTGTATCAATTCTCAAACCTCTCAGTTCATGGAATGTCAGATAATCTAGACATCTAATGATTGCCTGTGGAGAACACAGTGCTGATATGATTAAGACAGTCATTCTGCTTGTAAAACCACATAGCTAAGGAATAGCTAACACAGAGTGGAGAGTTCAGATTCTGACTTCTTGTTCTTTTACCCCAAGTCCACTGTTCGTGGAAAGCTGGGTCTGACCAGCACCTGAGGTCACAGATTAAGCCTTATGTGCAGAAATACTACTAACAAAGGAGAATAATGAGAAGAGCACAAGGAATGAACTTTCACAGGCTTCTGAGGTGGAGTGGTGAGCCTGGGCATGTGCTGCGGCTGCCTTCTAGCTGTGGACTCTTCTGTTACTCTGTGTGTTTTTATCCTGTGACCTCTAGATTCTCCTTACTTTTGCTTTGTATACCTATTATAGTACTGACAGCCTATACAGAGAAATGTGTGCTGTTTGCATGGAAGTTAAATGTCTTAAAATTCTTTCTTCTTTATAAATCTGATTCTAAATACATTGGTTGGAAACAGATTCAGGAGCAATCATGCCACATTTCCGTGAGTGAGATCAAAAATACAAAAGTGGTTTCCATTTACAGATAGGAATAATGAGTAGAATAGGACATCTTATGTTCTCTAGAAAATAATTGAAGTTTGAGGGGAAGCTGTGAGTGTTGCCGTTTCTTTTGTCAGATTCTGAGAGTTCCAAAAGCCAATCTGTGCTAGTCCTGCTTGATATGAGAAGCTCCCTTGTGACTACATTTCCTTCTCATTGCTCCCCATCAAGAGAAATGATGAGATTTGCATTCAGAATGGAGGTCCATGCCATGTGGGGTGAAGCAGTGCCTCTCTTCAGTTCCTGTCTGTTTTCTCCCATCCCCGAATCCAGAGCATCCCCTTGAGCAGCACAGCAGGAAGGGAGTTTTAGTCCATTTCCAACAAATGCTCACAAAAGAAAAGATCTCAGTCTTAAAGCTGCTGGTGACTTCAGACCAGCATATAGAATTTGAAGCAATAGTAGATTTTACCTTGGGTGTATACATGCGCTGAATGGTTCTGCAGAACACAGAGTTGTTTTTGTCTGATAGTATTCAGATCTATTTCCTGTTGATTTTAATTTAAAAATCCTCTTCTGCATCAAGTTATGAATTAGAAGTCATCTTATTTTGATAGAAAGGTTAAGTTCAATTATGATCAGTAAATTAATTTAATTTTTAAGATGTCAGAACTTGAAAAGTTTAAGGAAGGCTTTTGAATTTATTTAGTTTTGTAGAGAAAAACTTATATTGTGAAGGTTAGGGGAAGTTTCTCATGTATTGGGCTGTACTTCCTGGTAGAGTCTTTGCTGTTCACAGGGAACAAAGGAAAAGAGAGGGCAGAACATTGTTAGTTAGCTTATTTATCACTTCAGCCAGAGGGAGTTAACGGTCTTAGGTTTATTTGAATGGATAGCCAGTAATAAGGCTTTACATTCAATTGTAGGGTTAGAAAACACACCCACTCACACACACCACACATACTCACATACACACCACACACACAGACACACACACCACATACTCACACATATCACACATACACATACCACACGCACTGACACCCCTTTACAAATTTGTAAGAGTTCATAGTGAAAGGATGAGCACTAAGGTACAAGTTGAAGTAAATGAATTGCAGACATTGTAGAAATGAAAAGAGTTCTTTCTTGACAGTCATGCCTTGAATTGATTTGTGATGTTCAGAGTTCTGAATTAACAACAAGGTTTTCCATGGAAAAGAAAGGACGTCTTTGTTGTAACTAAGACACATACGTAGTTTGGTTTCAAGTGAGATGGAAATGACCTAATTATCTCTTTTTGTACTGGCAGAAACCTTTCATGTTTGTTTAAAATGTCAGATAATTCCCATCACTATTTTTTTAGATAAAGCATTTATATATGATAATCTTTTCTTGTTTTATAGACCCTACCCATTCCATTTGAATCTTCTCTAATAATATATAGGTTATGGTCTAAGATCTTTAGAGTATGCACAGTTACAGAGTTCTGCTCCTATTCTGTCTAATACTGATCAAGAAATTACATGGAATGTGAAATGAAAAAGAGGCCATAGGTTGATTCATTTATCTTGATTGAAGTGAAAATTAAAAATTTTTAAGCATTTAAAAAATCATTGAAAGCTTTCAAGATTGGCTCTTTACTACAGTGCTAAAAAATGTACTCTGTGTCTGATGATTTTATTCTTTAAGATAAAATCAAAATAATACAGATGGCACTAATTAGACTTTATATTTAAAAAAAAGAAAAAGAGGACAGGAAGATGGGAAGGGGGAGTACTGAAGGTTCCAGGCAGAGTAGAAGGGGTTCTTGGGTTGGTCATGATCAAAATATATTGTTGGCAAAGAATAAATAAAAATATTCTTTTAAAAAGCATATTTTTAAAAACCTGGGTCTATAAGCTATATGGTCAATGTGACACTCCCGAAATCTCCTGTATAATCTCTATACATTTAGAGTTGAAAAATAACCACTATGAATTTTGATGTCTGCATTGTCATCTTTTGTTCAGCTGTTATGCCCTTCCTGATCAGTTCAAACAAGCTCTTACCTAAATAATAAAGTGTTCATTAACTTTGAAGATAAACCAATCACATAGTTTTATAAAGTATCATTTGTTTTTAGGCTTGGCTGAAAAAGAAAGGAATAGAAAGGAAGTAGGAATTAATATAGTTTTGTAATGACTGACTCAGGAGTAGGTCAGGTCATGAGTCATCATGTCATTTCCTAACAGACTTGTAAGCCTTCCGCAGCCTTTTGTTGTCTGCCACATAAAGTCTTTACCTGTTCAGAAAGGCCCTTCCTCACTTACAGTGTCTTTTATCATTGCACTTGTCTTTCCCTTCATGCTTTGATAATGCCAGCTGCCGATGGTGTCTTAGCTGTATTACTTTTCTCTTAGGTCTTTGCTCATGCTGGTTTCTCCATCTAGCATTTACGTCCCTCTCTTCTTCACCTAGTAATGCCATCTTTTCAGAAAATCTGAACTACCCGCCACATTAAGCTACATTAGAGCTCCCTCCAAACTCTGTCTCTTTTATCTCCAATGCAGTCTCCCCTCTTTTTTGTTTTGTTTTTTTTTTTTTGTTTTTCGAGACAGGGTTTCTCTGTGTAGCTTTGGAGCCTATCCTGGCACTCGCTCTGGAGACCAGGCTGGCCTCGAACTCAAAGAGATCCGCCTGCCTCTGCCTCCCAAGTGTGGGGATTAAAGACGTGTGCCACCAACGCCCGGCTTCCCCTCTTTTTTATGATCACCCCTTTGTATGTCTAATTCTTCTAGAATGTAGTTCTTTGAGAATAGAACTCTGTATTGCTCATTTTTTCATCCTTCATATTAATGACAACACATAATGTTAAAGTTGGGCCAGTGAGGTAGCTTAGCAGTTAAAGGTGCCTGTCACCAAGGCCTGAGTCTGATCCCTGGGACCCACATAGGAGATGACCTTCTCCTACACTATCAAGTTGTCCTATGACCTCCACATGTGCATCATGGCACAGATACTGTTAAATAAATAAAATGTAATTTAAAAAAGATGTTAATGTGGCTGGCACATTAAGGTGGTGGCACACGCCTTTAATCCCAGCACTCGGGAGGCAGAAGCAGGAGGATCTCTGTGAGTTTAAGGCCACCTGGTCTACGGAGCAAGTGCCAGGATAGGCTCCAAAGCTACACAGAGAAACCCTGTCTTGAAAAATCAAAATAAATAAATAAATAAATAGATATTAACGTGGGATTGCAGGTGTTTTGAGTTTAAAGTAGAATAAGCAGAGGTTCTGGTATCCTTGGCACCTCCTCTGTCACTGCCCTAGAGCTGGAGATCATCATTTTACACTGGATATATTGTAAAGCCTCCCAACTTGGTTTTCACTCTCATCTGTCAACTTTGTCTTTAATGTGTTCTTCACACTATGCCTAAGATCTGATTGTGGTACCTTCCAACTTCCCAGCAGTCTCCATTTCCTCTTAATAGTTTGGTAGTGATCATGTGAGAAAGACACAGCTCTTGGGAAAGCTTCTTGATGCCCCAAGTAATCTCACTATAGACTGTCTGCCTCAACCTTTGCTTTTGTCTTCACTAGTCTGTGCATCAGCTCGACTGAACGCCTTCCGGTGTCATGCCTATGTACTCCTTGTTCTCTGTGAGTTAGACACGCTGGGCATCTCCCTGCACTCTCACTCCACTCCACCTGTCTTACTTTCTCTCATCCTTAGTGTTTAATGCCAGTCTTACACTTAATACATCATACTGACCTGTGGCATAGTGTTGTCAGATAATACTGAGTGGACTTGACTGTTAGATTTCTGTACAATAGGTTCCATGGAAGCTCTGTCCATGATATCAACAGTAGCAGTGGCAGCAGCATGGCCGGGTTCTATGCAGAGTAAACAGCAATTTCCTTTACAAACAACAACAGCAAGCCACCAAACCAGGATTCTAACACTGGTCTTTCTGAGCAGACCCACAGTGCTAATGGCCTTATGGTGTTGCCACTCATGGTTTGTTTTATAGCCTACTGTTGTGTCTCTGTTAGGCATGCCCTAAGTGTCAATTTCATGAATGAAAGATTGATAAAACCAGTATGAAGACCCAGAAAGATTTGAAGGTAGATGTTTGTAGTATATATTGCCTTGTTATCACAGTAATATTTAGTAAATAGTTTTTGTGGGTTGAAAGTTTTTAAAAACTAGAAAAGAAGTAGAAGAAACCCTGGAAGTATGTGGAAGAAGCATGAATCTTAAGAGTTACATGTCCAAAAATATTCATAGGGCAAATGTGCTCATTGCTGATAAGTTTGTCCCCAACAGAGACTGATGTTAATTGCTACAAACACATAACTATATTACTTTCCTTCTTCACTGGTACACCAAAGTGCCCTTCCATAGAGCTGAACCCCAGCCTACTGTCCTACTTTAAAATTATGTTTATTTATTATTGTGTGTGGTATTGTGGTGTGTGTGTGTGTGTGTGTGTGTGTGTGTGTGTGTGTGTGTGTGTGTGTATTTGTAGGTCAGATGACTGCTTTGTGGTATCTGTTCTGTCCATCTTTATGTGGGTTCCAGGGCTGAACTCTGGTTGTCAGGTTGGCAGCAAGTGTTTTAACTGCTGAGCCATCACCGGCCCTACTTTCCTGCTTTTGACACTTGTTGTTTCTGATCCTTGTTACTAAAATACATAAGACCAAGCCTAAGGATTTGGCAGCAGAACAAGCTATACTGTTTCTGCTGCTATCTTATGGAACATTGGCCACCATGTGTTTAGTCATTCACATTGCCACCTCCAACTCTTGTCATTCAGTTGCACGAAGAGCGTGTATAAGTCTTGCTCGGTGCCTTTCCATGAACTCCCTTAGAGAACAAGCTGCCCAAGAGTACATAATGCTGTTTTTATAGGTTGATCCATTTACTTTTAGCCTAAACTGAATTAGAAGTATTCTATATGCCAGTAGTCTTTGGAGCCAGTTTGTGTTCCGACCTTTCTGAGAAGCAAGCTCTAATGAGGCCTGTGTTCATCCAGGAGCACTCCACACTACAGAGGCCGAAGCTGCTTCTCAGAGTCTGACTCAGATATATGCCTTGCCTGAAATTCCTCGAGACCAAAATGCTGCTGAGTCCTGGGATAACTTAGAAGCGGTATGTTAAACATACTTTCTTTTTACTAACTGTGAGATGTAAAAGTAAGTAATTTCCTTCCTCTCTTTCTTTTTAAAGGACTTAATTGAACTTAGCCATCTGGTCACTGATTTCTCCCTCCTAGTGAATGTAAGTATATAACTGAGCTTCAGAATTGATCAGTCACTGTCCTTTTTATTAGAATTTTAATAGAAGTCACATATTTTAAAAATATTTGCTTTTATTTTATGTGTATGAGTGTTTTGCCTACATGTATGAATGTGCAACACCTGTGTGTTTGATGCCCACAGGCCTGAAGAGAGTGTTGAATGCCCTGAAACTGGAGTTGCAGATGGTTTTGACCTGCTATATGGGTGCTAGGAACAAAACTTGGGTCTAACGCAAGAGCAGCTAGTGTTCTTAACCACTGAGCCTAGATTATAATTTAGAAATGGTATTGAACTATGAATATGGTCCCTAAATTCTAGATCAGTTTAATAAATATCATGTAAAAAGTACTTTGCCAGATTCTCAGCATTGAAAGTCTGGACAAGGTTACATACAGGCATAAATCAAATCTAATTGCTGCCTTTGGGGATTCCATAGAAAGAAGAGGTGGGCTGGAACTCTCAAACTCAGTTTTCAAGCATGAAAACTAAATGCAAAGTAACTCCAAGAAGAAGCATGTATTCCAGGAAGGGAGGCAGGGTTTATGAGACAGTAGGATTAAAGCTACTATCACAGAGCTAGTACTAACATGAGCCTTGAAGAATGAGTAGATGCTTACAAAGGGCTACAAGGGTTGTGCTTTATAACAGGTGAACTAGGACAAGACATGGTGAGCTCTGTGGACTATCAAAGAATACTAAGCATAACTATTATCCAAAGCCTACAGTACCAGGGGCAAGCAAGGATTGATGAGGGCCAACTTGTGCTGCTACTGAATTTGGGTGGCCTTGTGGGCCTGAAGGAGCTGGTACAGATATTGACCAAGCTGAAGTCCTGCAATCCAGTCTGTGCCTTAGCAAGACTGTCACAATGATGAAGAGGAGGTCATGGAAAGGGTGATGATCTAGGAGCCAGTTGCAAGAATTTAACCTGTAGGTAGAGTAGTAACCCTTCCTTGTATAATGTAAAGGATGCTCAGACGACTTTCTGAGGATCAAGCTAGCAGAAGATAAAGTCAAAGACAGGAACCTTTAAGGCCGGAATGAATCTGTTGTCATAGATTAGGGAGCACATTCTATTTTGGGAGGAAAGATAGAATTTCTATCATTATTTTTCTAAACTGCTTTTGGTTTGTTTTCCCCTGAGAATTATAGAAAGGTATAATGTGTGAGCACCTGTGCGAATATCTGTTTGCTCAGGTGCAAAGTGATTTCCATTTGTGCTCTGGCTAAGTTAGTTCCCTGTTCTTGATCAGACCATGAATTGCAAGCCAGCGTCTCTGAGTCATGGCTTCCCTAAGGTCTGACTTTGAGGTGGAAACTCCTACAGCATAGCTCCTCAGAGTTTAAATGGGGAAGAATTCCAGAGCTTGCTAATCTGGCCCTGTATTGTGCCCCAGCTTCTCAGACCACTAACCTTCTATCTTTTTAACAGTAGAGATGAGGACTTTGGTGTTTAGCCATTCTTTTGAAGGTTGTAAGAGAGAATGGAAGCTCTTCCTTGTGCCAATTCTGTCATATAATTTCTCCTGGGCACTTTTGTCCTCTACAGCCATGTATAGAAGAGTTTGTCTTCTTTCAATATAAGAGGTTTTCAAGGTTTTCAGATAAATGTTCTTGTTTCTTAGACCTACCCAAACACATTTTCATTTCTTAAAAACTTCCTTCTTTTATGGCTTCTCCTATCCCCATCTCTAAGCAAGCTTCCCAAGGTATGTAATACCTACAGATGTGTGCTACAACCCCAGGACAGATGGACTCATCTTGGGCTGGTAGTTGCACTGTTGAATGCATTACACTTGAAATAATGAGTAATTATAGATCATTTTCCTGGTAGCCATTTCTCCAGTTATTCCAAAGGATTTTTGTAAGGAAAAATTAGTTATCTTAATAGTCTACTTTAAACAGTCATTGTGATGGTTTAAATGAGAGTGGTCCCAATAGGCTCATTTATTTGAATGTTAGTTACCAGAGAGCAAAAGTCTTTGAAAGGATTAGAAGGATTAGGAGATACGGCCTTGTTGGAGGAAATTTGTCACAGGGGTTGGGGGGTGGGGGTTAAGATGTCAAAAGTCCATGCCAGGCCCATTCTCTGTGTTTTGGTCTGTTGGGGATGTAGCTCTTAGCTACTTCTCAAACACCATGTATGCCACTGTGCTCCTTGTCACTCTGTGCTTCCTGCCATGATGATGACGGACTCAGCCCCTGTAAGCAAGCCCCCAGGTAAATGCTTTCCTATGTAAGAGTTGCCTTGGTCATGGTGTCTCTTCACAGCAACAGAACAGTGATTAAGACAGCCATAGTAATGCAGTATCCAAAGTTTTAGGAAGAGGAACAGAAAATATATCTTCCTGAGGTCTGTGATCACTTCGCCTGTGGACATAGCAATAGCCCTAGCAGATTCCTCCCTCAGCCCAAGGGAAAGGAACTCTTTACCTTCTGCTTTAGTCTATAAAGATGTAAAAGTTGGTGATAGGGTTTTATTGCAGTGGCTTATGTGCCAGAATAGATTGTTTCAGGTAAGAGTGGAAGACAGACGGAAGTACTGCTAAGGTGTCAGGAATACAGGCAAGTTGGATATTACTGGTGCTGGCACTTGCTTCTGTGGCTAAGAAAGCTGACTGAAAGGAGCTTTGCTGTTGTGAAAATGAAAATTCAGTGAACACTAAGGAAGATCTGTTATCTGTGAACACTATCATAGGAACAAGAGCACTAAACTGTTTTGCTGAAAAGGTGAGAGTTAGTACTTTCTTGGGAAAACCAGGATGGGTGCTTCTGTTTTCCAGTTGTGCTTTGCACTCATCTCATTGTATCCTCCTTTAACACATGTAGCAGATGAGAGTACTTGGCCCAAGAACATACCAGAGCAGTGATGGGATTTAAACACAGAATATCCTATCCTAGGTTTTGTGTGCCAATTTTATATTGAAAAATAGTGACCTTTCAAGTGTGTGAAATGAGAGGCTGCAAAGATGGTTCAGCAGTTAAGAGCATGTACTGCTCTTGCAGAGGACCTGAATTTGGTTCTCAGCACCCATAGCAGGCAGCTCATAACCTCATGTAACTCCAACTCCAAGAGATCTGATACTCTCTCCTGTTTTTGTATTATTGTATGCCCATGAACACACACGGATGCACGCGCACGTGCACACACACACACATACAAATTTTCAAGACTGCATTTCAGGACTCCACATGAAAAACCTGTGGTAGGGCCCAATAATGTGTTTCCAGAAACTTTGAAGGTGATCTAGTGTTTACTTGAGTTTGAGAGCTTTGGCTATATTTGTGTGACAGATTCAAAAGAAAACTGCAAAAGGGCTGTTTTAGGAATGTTAGGGATGTCAAGATAGTGATGGAAAGCCCTGGATTGAAGGGCCACCACAAAAGGCCTGGCAGAGAGAAGGAGCATGTTGGGCAGGGAAAGAACGTCAGTAATGCTAATAGGAAACAGCTGGGGGCTTGTGAGCTGTGTGGCACTTGTTCTCACATGAAATGCTGCTTGGGACAGGAATGTGTGCTTCAATAGCTTTAGCATAAAAGTCAGTTGAATCACTGTATAAGGGGCATTATGTGGAATGAAAAAAAGGTTCTCCTATGTTTTTTTGCATAGAATTGAAAGAAATTACCTTTGCCCTGTTGGTCATAGTGATTCCATTGATTTCTATATCGGTTAGGACGTATTCTACTTCACCATCAAAATGGGTACATATGGTATGCAACTAAGTGTGTGTGTGTGTGTGTGTGTGTGTGTGTGTGTGTGTAACTAAATAAACTTGATCTTGGTGAGATCCTGGTTCCAGGGTAAGGACAGAGTGCTTGTGCTTGAGGTATCAGAGCCGAGCTCATGAGTGACACTGATGTGACTTCACACATTAGAGAGGAGAATGGCGGTCCCCAGCTACCACCAGGAATCATGATCACTGTTGCATCAGAACAGGTGTTGCTGTATTAATATTGTTGATTTGTACTATCTTAACTTGGACTATATTTTATTTAGTATAAAACTCAAGACCACAGATTCTTTCATTACTCGGTATTGCATATCGAAAGTGCAAAGATTTCATGCTGATTACAATGCATTGTAGTCTGATTCTTACAAAAGAACAATTTGGATTTGTTGGATCAAGGGCATTTTACTTCTAAAGTAAATTTGATTTAACCAGAATCTCCAAAGAAGATAAGTTACAGACTTTGTTTGATTTGTTTTCCTTTTTTTGCTATCAAACCCAACATGACATGTAAATGCTTATTTGGATTTTTTTCCTCCTACAAAGTAGGTTCATTTGGAGAATAATATGTTTGTATATTTGAATGAATTCCAGTGTGAGGTGCTTTTTGCTATGAAGGTACCATCCTTTTATTACCCAATCATTAAGTCCCCCTCTTTTTTTCGTGAAAGTGAATTTGTACTTTCGACGTGGTTTATAAGATGCTATTAATGAACCACTATTAAGACTGCAAGGCTGCAGTACCCGGGGCCTGATTACAGGAATTAAAATAGTGTGTGTTGGCTTCCCACTGCTCCCCAGCAGGACCGCTCACTCATAATTCCTTTGCATCTAGTCTCAGCAGGAGAAGATTGACAGCATTGCAGACCATGTCAACAGTGCTGCTGTGAATGTTGAAGAGGGAACCAAAAACTTGGGGAAGGTAAGATTCTGCTCCTGCTGACAAATCAATGGTACTTCGGCTCCCAGGATTCTCCAGTATTAACCCAATTGATCTGCTCTCTTCAGTGCTGGGGGAACCAGCAATTAAGGAAATAAGGAAGAAATGACACATAGGTAGTGTAAGAAATCAATGGCTGTAATATTCTACTCCCAGATTCATTCTATCATGAGAGAGAGAATTTTTTTTCCCAAAGAGAATGAACTGTGGTCTCACTCTAGGGCATTTAGTTGTTATGAAGGAATACTGCAGAGGCCTAGGGAGCAGAGAGAGAGCGGTCCATTAATCCAGGCAGAGCAAAAGTGAGGCTGCAGCAGCACTCGAGGAGTGTGACCATCTATTATGCATATGATGTGATTTTCAGCCCAGGTGCCTAGTGGGGAATAACCCCTGTGCTGAATCAACGCTTTGGTGGGAGCCAGTGGCTGCTGAAACTGTTTAAATAAGCCAGCCAGATAGTGGATTGATTGTTTTGCAAGTAAAATCAATTTGTAGCTGTCCACTCAGGAGCAACCTCCCTTAG